CCTACCTGGGGAAACAACCTTTCTCGGAGAGGTGACCTTGGTTAAAACACATAGCGCCAAGAAGGGGAGCAAACATATTAAGAACAGTATGCCATATACGCCAGGTCCCTTGAAACATATGCTGTGCAGATGTTTCTTCCCTGCAGCAACTGTGTCAAGCAGCAAGGATGGACCGGCTTCCAGCACTGTGGTCCTGTTTCCTGAACTCCTTGAGTCTGCCAGCTGGATTTCCCACGAGGTTCTCGTTAGAAGGGTGCTTAATAAGGCTGACCAGCAGCACACCTTATGATGAAGCACAAAGAAGCCAGGCTCTGTGTGGATCACTCTCTCAGTCCCCTCAATTGCTCATCTTAAACTACCTAGTTCCTGACACGGTTTCCAAAAGGGAAAAGGGGGGAGGGGGAGGGGGAAAGGAAGATGAAAAAAGTATTTGTTACATTTAAAAATGGGGGGAAGGGGAAAGATCTATGTCTATGTTCACCTCATTCAACTTCCTTGAGTGATGGCTCTATGATGTTGTTTAAATAGATAATACATGGATATTTGCACAGTGAGTACAAACACTGTTCATAACAAGGGCATAACTAGAAAGATAGGTGGACTTGCAAGGGCAAATAATGTCATCTAAGTGACAGATAAAAAATATAATATTAAAGAGCTATAAAAGGTCTTCTGAGCATTCAACTCCAGTGGCAAAACATCCACATGAAAAGCCCTTAATTTACAAATCTCATTATTCTTACACAGCTGCTTAAAAAAGTGTGCAGATATGTATTTATATTTGTTTTATTCTTCAAAATCTAAGGATATAAGAAATCTTGTTTGAAAAAAAATTAGACAGGAACTTGATATACTTTTCCCTCCAAAGAATAGCAGCTTTCAAGGCAAATTTCTTGGTATAAAGCTCCCAAATGTATCTTCTATTTCTTTGGTCTTCACTATTTATAAATTCACAGCAAAATTAAAACAAGTAGAAAGATGGGGGTTAAGGAGTAGTCAAGGAGAAAGACAGTTCCAAAGTGAGGTTTTCTTCTCTGCAGTTTTCTGTATTTCACTTGTTTTGCCCTTTCCTGAAGACTGAAATTGAGCTACTGGAAGGTGATGTGAAGAATCTTCTATTGCTTCAGTAGAGAAGTCATTTATTATTTTGGATCCATATCCATCATTATTCAATAATTTAAAAGGCCACAGGAATCTAACATGGGCAGCGGCCGGGCTGCAGCCAGGCACGCGACACCGCGGTGTCTGAGGACGTGTCCTCGGCTTCCTGATCCCGCAGAGCTGGAGAGCCCACAACCATAACAAAGCTCTTCCCAAAATGGCTGCCCGGCCCACACTGCCGGCCCTGCTTTTAATTATTTTTTTAAGTATATTTTTATTTATTTTTAGATAGAGAGGAAGAGAGAGAGAGAGAAACATCAATGAGAGAGAAACATCAATCAGCTGCCTCCTGTACAACCCCCACTGGGGATCAAGCCCACAACCTGGTGCATGGTTCAATGCTCAACCACTGAGCCACACTGGCTGGGCTAATTCTTTTTGGTATATGTGCAGAAGTGCATATATGATAGATCACATATTAATTCTGATTTTATTTTTTTTAAAACTGTCATACTGTTTTTCATAGTGGCTGTACCATTTTATATTCTCACCAGCAGTACATAAGCATTCCAATTTTACTGTATCTTCATCAATACTTGTTTGTTGTTGTTTTTAAATAGTAGCTAGCCTAATGGCCATGCTGAAATTCCAGTTTTGATAAGTGAGTAGGAGATGGAAGGGCTAAGATTAAGCAGGTTATAAAGCATTCCCATATACTTGTATGAGACTTCTCTGGGTTGAGCCACACTTATGAACCAGGAGGTTGTGTTTCAATTCCTGGTCAGGGCACATGCCCAGGTTGTGGGCTCCATCCCCAGTGTGGGGCATGCAGGAGGCAGCCAATTAATGATTCTCTCTCATCATTAATGTTTCTATCTCTCTCTCTCCCTCTCCCTTCCTCTCTGAAATCAATAAAAATATATATTTTTAAAAATAGCACTTACTGGCCGTAGCCGGTTTAGCTCAGTGGATAGAGCGTCAGCCCTCAGACTGAAGGGTCCCGAGTTCGATTCCAGTCAAGGGCATGTACCTCAGTTGCAAGTCTGTGTGGAAGAAAACCAATCCATGTGTCTTTTTCACATTGATGTTTCTCTCTGTGTGTCTCTCCCTCTCCCTTCCACTCTAAAAATCAATGGAAAAATATCCTCTGGTGAGGATTAACAACAACAACAACTTATTGGTTACCCTTGCTCCAACTGGAGAGGAAGTATACACAAAGCCTGCAAAGGATGGCAAGGGTTTCCCTGCCAAGTACAAGAAGAGAAGAGAGTCAGAGAGAATTTCATGCACAGTACTCCCTACCTGCACCACACACTTGGCATACAAATGTTCCAGATGACCCTGAGATACGGCTAGTGTTTCACTGTTTTGCACAGTTTCACTATGGAATTGCCTGACAGAAGCAGATAAGCCACAGAAGGAAGAGTGGGAGGGATCTCTTCAGGAACTGGGCAATAGAATGGGGGAAACATGTATGGCTAACACTGACCAAAGGTAAAAATTAAAAGGATGAGATTGGAAGTGAAGCCTAGAAAAACTGACTTGCTTCTGTGATTCCCATTGCCAGCCCAAGATAATCACCAACAGAACGTCAAATCAGTTCTTTGGGCTACTGCTCACTTCCCTTTCTCAAGTGCAGATGTCCTTGCTCTTCCTCCCCCAGGGCCTGGGATGGTCTATTACTCTCCGACTGCCCACAGCCCCCTTCTGCAGGGTTTCACCCACCCGACACTCTCTCCTAGTTAAGCATTCATAAAATATTTATTGGCTACCGAAAACCATGGATGTCAAACTTGATAACTTGAAATTGTTAACATTTTAAAAAATAAAATTGTGTTCAAAGCAAAATTAATGTCTCCCATAATGGCATACTAGTACCAAGGACAGGACAATGGAATCGGTCTGCCCCAGGTGCAAGCAATTCATCATAGTCTGTAGAGAATTTTAAAATTTTAAATAATAAACTAAAATAAATAATAAACTCAAAGGTACACTGCTTTTTATTTTCCCCATGCTCCGTCAACTCTAAACAACGTCAATGATAAAATACTCCTCCCACCCAAAATATCTTTTGTTGGTCCAAGTTCCAAACAATTGCTGTGGTTACTGTTGAATTTTAATAATACAAATATCATCTTCAAATATATAAAGAATATATTATTCTTTAACAAACATTGTATTCAACATTGAAGTCAAATCAAAGAACTCCCATTTCTTCAGAGACTCAGCTGTCTACATTCATTTTGAGAGTAAACTCAGAATGACTCAGAATCCTTTGAGCTTGCCTAGGGGCAGTTATGTCTCCAACCTTTAGGGAATGGCAGCTTTCAAAGTATAAAACAATGGATTCAAAGCAAACAATAATTGTGAAGAAAAAAAGGTAAACTTCAGTTACTTCAATTCTGCCTCTGGATATAATAGAACAGAGTACTGTACATGATAGTATAAAATAGTTTCCCTTCTCTCAAGAAATCATGAATGTATTGTATGTATTTATATATACATATATATATATGCAGCTAAAATATTTTTGTTCTGTAACATGTTTTATTTTTATTTGTAATTTATTTATTTGCATGATTATATAGTATATTAATGTAATTAAATTTTTTCTATGTTTCTGGCTGTTATTTTTATTCACTTCATATCACAATTATTACTGAAATACATTTTTCATCTGCAGTTTATTAAAAATAATCAGTGCTAGGTGTCAAAAATATTAGACACATGACAGCTCTTACTACCTTTTTCTAATTTGTGCATGACTCATGCTTCAATTATCCAACAAAGCACCTGATGTCTGCCAGGCACTGGGCTCAGCTGTGGACTACGGGGACCAATACAACACAGATCAAGCCTTGAGGTTAGTGTTTCTGGGACTGTCAAATTGGAAAGGCCCAGGATATGGCTAGCGTATGCAGCTGAACTGAACATATTGATCTAAGTCTAACTTACTTGGGAATGAATTCTAGACAACCCAAGACTAAGTCGATCAAGGTGCTTATTTCATTCATGTTTCCATAAATGAGAGGGAGGCCTGATATTTTTATACCTACTTAAAAAGGCATTTAGGAACCTTTTCTAATCCAGTTCTGTGATTATGTTTAAGAAATGCCCACCATCCTTTTGTTGTGTCAATAAACACACAATAAATAAAGTTTATGCACATCAAACATGAATAGACCCAATTCCCATAATTATTATGAGTATTCTTTGTTGAAAGATGGAAAGATATAGAGAGTTTCCTGTGGTTCCTGCTATCTTGATGATGGGAAAAGATGAGAGAAGTAACAAGCCTAAAATAAAATAGTTTGAGGACACATAGAGCCAAAGGGTAGGGGAAATTTTCAATGTATTTTTATTTTCTCTCTCTCTCTCTCTCTCTCTCTCTCTCTCTCTCTCTCTCACACACACACACAGACACACACACACACACACCTCACTCCTTAAGGAAATCAGAATAACCTCAATTCTTTAGAAGAAAGAATCATCCAACTGAATGTAAAATACAGGAGTGTTGATTACTGCTGAGCAATTAAGGACTAAGAATTTTCTCTTTGGAACAATCTTTTCTAGCTGTGATCAACCATATGCTCGCTTTCTTTCTTTCTTTTCTTTTCTTTTCTTTTTTTTTTTTTTCTTAATGGACTTCTGCAGAGGTTTCATTTTCTATCAAATAGTGCACCTTGCAACCTTCTGTGAAGAACTATACCGGTGGTCCAAGGGGTAATGAAATGAAATTGAGCAAAAGAAATTTTAGGTTGAAAATCATAGAAAAAAATATACCTGCAGCTAGTCCTATAGTTCTGTGGAATAATCTCTCAGGGCAACCAAACCAGTAATGGACCCATCACTTGTATAACTCTAAATGAGGATGAAAAAAATATTGGGGAGTATTTTATAAGGAACCAGCCTGTATTGGAAAAAGACAGATAAAATGACCTAATTTTCCATCTGTAATTTTTATGATTCTGCCTTGAAAAGCCTCTTCAAACAGAGTATCTGACAATTTGGGTATGCAAGATAAAAAAAACACAAAAATGCTATTCGGCCAACTCTTCAAGGCAAGAGTCAAAGAACTTCAAAGGAAAATATTTTGACAATAAAAATCATACTTGCCTGGCCGGTGTGGCTCAGTGGTTGAGGGTCAACCTATGAACCAGGAAGTCACAGTTCGATTCCAGGTCAGGGCGCATGCCCGGGTTGCAGGATCAATCCCCAGTGTGGGGCACGCAGGAGGCAGCTGATCAATGATTCTCTGTCATTAATGATGTTTCTCTCCCTCTACCTTCCTCTCTGAAATCAATAAAATATATGTATTTTTTAAAAATCAGACTTAAAGTTATGATAAAGTACGCATACTTATTTCATACGCATTTATGTACTTATCCTATATAATAAAAGCATAATATGCAAATAGACCGAATGGCTGAACAGTGGAATGACCATCCGGCCAACCATCCAGGACCACTTTATGACACCCACTGGTGCCAGGCCAGCCAATGAGGATACAATGCGATTGGTCAGGGGCCCGGCCATCGCCCCATGATTGTCCCGCAGAGAAAGGCCCAGGCCAGTGGCCGGCAGGGTGATCAATCAGGGGCTCCACAATTGCCCCAAAGAGAGAAGCCCAGGCCACTAACTGGCAGGCTGTGGTGGGTGGGTGGTCTCGGGTCCCAGAGGGAAGTCGGTGCCGGCAGCCTGGGGAGGGAAGGCCTACTGCTTGCACAAATTTCGTGCATCAGGCCTCTAGTTTAGTACATGGGGCTTACTTTAAGGTCAAAATTTGAATGTGTTTCCATTTCAATTTGTCCCTGTTCAACATCTCTGTCACTGCAGCTGATGCTGATATTGACACTTCCCGTTAAGGGTCAAATTCAATGTTTTAGGCTGCAACAGGAAATATCACTCAGCACTAGAATATATAGGAAAATCAGGATATTTTCAAAGATGTAATACAGGAAATCAACCAGAGAATATTCAAATAGTCACAATGTGTATAACATTTTAAACATTTTCTTCCTTTTTTAAACAAATGCTGAGCAAAGTTTCCTGTGTTTTAAAAGCAACATCAATGAACTCTAAAAATCGCAAGTCCCACATACTTACAATCCCTTCTCTTCATACTTAACTCCCCTGGCTTTCTGAGGTTTCCAGGGCTTTAAAGATGGGCTGTAGAACCCTTCTACATATTTATGTTTAAAATCCTGTCTTCAGCCCATTGGTGTGGCTCA